TCATGTACCATCATGTCACACAGTATCATGTATCATCATGTCACACAGTATCATGTATCATCATGTCACATAGTATCATGTACCATCATGTCACACAGTATCATGTATCATCATGTCACACAGTATCATGTATCATCATGTCACATAGTATCATGTACCATCATGTCACACAGTATCATGTACCATCATGTCACACAGTATCATGTATCATCATGTCACACAGTATCATGTATCATCATGTCACATAGTATCATGTATCATCATGTCACACAGTATCATGTATCACACAGTATCATGTATCTTCATGTCACACAGTATCATGTATCATCATGTCACATAGTATCATGTACCATCATGTCACACAGTATCATGTATCATCATGTCACATAGTATCATGTACCATCATGTCACACAGTATCATGTATCATCATGTCACACAGTATCATGTACCATCATGTCACACAGTATCATGTATCATCATGTCACACAGTATCATGTATCATCATGTCACACAGTATCATGTATCATCATGTCACATAGTATCATGTATCATTATGTCACACAGTATGTACCATCATGTCACATAGTATCTTTTTTCATCATGTCACATAGTATCATGTACCATCATGTCACATAGTATCATGTACCATCATGTCACACAGTATCATGTATCATTATGTCACACAGTATCATGTATCACACAGTATCATGTATCATCATGTCACACAGTATCATGTATCATCATGTCACACAGTATCATGTATCATCATGTCACACAGTATCATGTACCATCATGTCACACAGTATCATGTATCATCATGTCACATAGTATCATGTACCATCATGTCACACAGTATCATGTATCATCATGTCACACAGTATCATGTATCATCATGTCACACAGTATCATGTATCATCATGTCACATAGTATCATGTATCATTATGTCACACAGTATGTACCATCATGTCACATAGTATCTTTTTTCATCATGTCACATAGTATCATGTATCATCATGTCACATAGTATCATGTACCATCATGTCACACAGTATCATGTATCATTATGTCACACAGTATCATGTATCACACAGTATCATGTACCATCATGTCACACAGTATCATGTATCATCATGTCACACAGTATCATGTACCATCATGTCACACAGTATCATGTATCATCATGTCACATAGTATCATGTACCATCATGTCACACAGTATCATGTATCATCATGTCACACAGTATCATGTATCATCATGTCACACAGTATCATGTATCATCATGTCACATAGTATCATGTATCATTATGTCACACAGTATCATGTGCCATCATGTCACATAGTATCTTTTTTCATCATGTCACATAGTATCATGTACCATCATGTCACATAGTATCATGTACCATCATGTCACACAGTATCATGTATCATCATGTCACACAGTATCATGTATCACACAGTATCATGTATCATCATGTCACACAGTATCATGTATCATCATGTCACACAGTATCATATACCATCATGTCACACAGTATCATGTATCATGTCACATAGTATCATGTACCATCATGTCACACAGTATCATGTATCATCATGTCACACAGTATCATGTATCATGTCATGTCACACAGTATCATGTATCATCATGTCACACAGTATCATGTATCATTATGTCACACAGTATCATATACCATCATGTCACATAGTATCTTTTTTCATCATGTCACATAGTATCATGTATCATCATGTCACATAGTATCATGTACCATCATGTCACACAGTATCATGTATCGTCATGTCACACAGTATCATGTATCACACAGTATCATGTATCATCATGTCACACAGTATCATGTATCATCATGTCACACAGTATCATGTATCACACAGTATCATGTATCATCATGTCACACAGTATCATGTATCATCATGTCACACAGTATCATATACCATCATGTCACACAGTATCATGTATCATGTCACATAGTATCATGTACCATCATGTCACACAGTATCATGTATCATCATGTCACACAGTATCATGTATCATCATGTCACACAGTATCATGTATCATCATGTCACACAGTATCATGTATCATTATGTCACACAGTATCATATACCATCATGTCACATAGTATCTTTTTTCATCATGTCACATAGTATCATGTATCATCATGTCACATAGTATCATGTACCATCATGTCACACAGTATCATGTATCATCATGTCACACAGTATCATGTATCACACAGTATCATGTATCATCATGTCACACAGTATCATGTATCATCATGTCACATAGTATCATGTACCATCATGTCACACAGTATCATGTATCATCATGTCACACAGTATCATGTATCATCATGTCACACAGTATCATGTATCATCATGTCACATAGTATCATGTATCATTATGTCACACAGTATCATGTACCATCATGTCACATAGTATCTTTTTTCATCATGTCACATAGTATCATGTATCATCATGTCACATAGTATCATGTACCATCATGTCACACAGTATCATGTATCATCATGTCACACAGTATCATGTATCATCATGTCACACAGTATCATGTATCATCATGTCACATAGTATCATGTACCATCATGTCACACAGTATCATGTATCATCATGTCACATAGTATCATGTACCATCATGTCACACAGTATCATGTATCATCATGTCACATAGTATCATGTATCATCATGTCACACAGTATCATGTATCATCATGTCACATAGTATCATGTATCATCATGTCACACAGTATCATGTACCATCATGTCACATAGTATCTTTTTTCATCATGTCACATAGTATCATGTATCATCATGTCACATAGTATCATGTATCATCATGTCACACAGTATCATGTATAATCAGTGGCACTTGCATCAACATAATAGAGAGAAGTGATTGGCCCAATACCCAGATCCCACCATGAAAACATCAGCTGATAACTGACATATTGCCACACTTATCAATTAACACTAATTCAATTTAGCAATCCGTTCTGTTACTAGCTATTATCAAGTGTCACACTTAAAACCTCTCCTATCATTTTCAAACCTCACTTGGCAAATATATACATTTGGATGTTATCTGATACAGGAAACTGGGGCCATTTCTAGTAGGCGGCTACGTCCACTGTCCATTTGCTGACCGCCAGAATCAATAAAAGACAACTTGATATTCTCACACAATTCCTTGATGGACTGGTGCCAGTGATCAAGTTGAAATATCAGGCATCAGAAAATGGTAGAACTGTATTTAATGTGATGAATTCTGTCCAGGAAGGTCAATGTGATCACAAAGGGATGTGAGTAATGGAGTGAGTGAGTTTCACACAATAATAATTACATCTGAAGGGCCGGAGCTTGAAATGACAATAACAGTATTCATCCCAATATCTGGCATATGATGGTTTGGGTTGGTAGGTATAACAATGCAATCATGTGTAAGTGCATATCATTTGATATTGCACAATAATGTGTGGTATATCTATCATGTACAGATACAGTTTAAACTATGCAATTTAAAAGTAATAATAGGTTTTCTTATGCCTGAATTACAGTGTATTGCAATGGCTGATAAAAATATAATATCTCATACTGTTTGTTAAATCTAAGGAACAAGCAAAGTGATGATCAAGCAAATATAAACAGGGATGCTGAGAATCAACTACAAGATGTTATAACCCTATTCCAGCTGTGAATTACTGACAACCAGGGTTTGTACTGCTCAAGTGATGAGCAAACGACAAAACAATAGTAATACAGTTTCTGTTACACAATCATATTGAGCATAAAACTAAAAAATTGTAAAAAGGTCTTTGATAGCATCTGTTGTCCTATCTTGATTATAAATGGTATTAAGAGACTGACTGACTGACTGAGTCTAGTTTTACCCCGCTTTTAGCAATATTCGAGCAATATCACTGCATGGGACACCAGAAATGGGCTTAACACATTGTGCCCATGTGGGGAATCAACCCCGGGTCTTCCGCATGACGAGCTAACGCTTTAACCACTAGGCTACCCCACTGCCTGGTATTAAGAGAACAATGTATATTTTATCAAGTTTGACTAAAAGAGGGACTATTATCCACTGACGAATTCAGATCAAGATGATGGAATAAGTGTCAGATGTGAGACTTAGACAGTGTGTAATTACAGTAATCACCAACTGATAGATCAATATACAGCAGAATTAACAATGAAAGTGGATTTAAAGCTTCCAGTAATGCCACTTGTCTCGACTTCATCAGTTAAGTACTGAACTCCAAGGTGGTGGTGCCCTATTTCATCATGAGTTTTCATGCAAGAACACAATTTGTTTCTGTATAGATACTAGACAGTACACTAAAAGCATTTCACTATTACTACTTAAAGAAGTTGTTTCAGACATGTGTGTCTACATCTTGCAATTGAAACTTGTTCTGAAATAATTAGGCAAGGAGTTTCCATACAATGTGACTGAACATGCATATCACAATATGTATTGCATTGTGACCTATGTATCGTGATACGCATTGTATCATCACCCTGTAGTACAGTGTCATTGTTTGCATGGATTAACATGTTGCATAGTAAAAGTAGAACAGATTCACATGTTGTGAAGTAAAAGTAGAACAGATTCACATGTTGTGAAGTAAAAGTAGAACAGATTCACATGTTGTGAAGTAAAAGTAGAACAGATTCACAAGTTGTGAAGTAAAAGTAGAACAGATTCACAAGTTGTGAAGTAAAAGTAGAACAGATTCACAAGTTGTGAAGTAAAAGTAGAACAGATTCACAAGTTGTGAAGTAAAAGTAGAACAGATTCACATGTTGTGAAGTAAAAGTAGAACAGATTCACATGTTGTGAAGTAAAAGTAGAACAGATTCACAAGTTGTGAAGTAAAAGTAGAACAGATTCACAAGTTGTGAAGTAAAAGTAGAACAGATTCACAAGTTGTGAAGTAAACGTAGAACACATCCACTTACATTTTGCATAGTGCTGTTCATGGGGTTTTGGGCAAGATTGTTGAGCTGCTGGACATTGGTGCTGATGATTGGAAGCTGAAGAAGAAAAGGCCATTTTACAGCAGCCATCGTTGTGGCTTACTGACAATAAGTTTGAGATAGTGCCAGATTATAGTTTGCTAGCTTAAACTGTTCCTTGGCATCATAAACAGCAGATATCAGTGGTACCTTGTGGACGTATCTGAGAGAAATAGACCCAAACATTTGTCCATATCAGACTTCAGGCAAGAGAAGTACTTAGTCGACGGCAGATATAAAATGGTGTCCTGAGTGAAATGATTAGTTGGTTAGGTTTACAACATCACAAGTAATTTAGAATCAAGTAATAGTCGAACTTGTGCAAACCCCAAAATGGCATGATGAACTCACTATGGGTTAATATTGCTTGGGGTATTAGTCTAGGTAGAAAGATTATTACCTTGGTGAAATCAGTTTGATAGGAAATATCTTGTGGAACAATGTTCTGGCAGCCACTGCAGGACCCATCACATCCTGTACAGGACGAGTCACGCCGAGCACCGTCGATTTTGAAGAGAAGATTTCTCAAGTTGTTTTCTAGCTGCCCGCCTTCACCATTAGTAATACTGTTTAACTTTGTGTGGATAGAGGTCAAGAGATCGGCAGCCTTTTGGGTACCTGCAACAAACAAGGTGTGGCATTAGGTGGTTCTTTGTGTGCTTCCCTTTTCACCACAGTCTGCCATCTCTGAGTGAGTCAGTGAGGTTTTTAAGCAGTATTTATTTATACCACAGAGGACAGCCCGAAGAATAGAAGATGTTTATTACCAGGACAGAGCGTTGTCATGACAAGCGGATCCTGGCATGCATAAGGGGGGCACCAAATACTCATCAAATACTCATCCTAGTCCATGAGTTCAGATTTGTTTTAAAGTGACATTGGAACAGTTAATTCATGATGGTATGGTTAGAAATTTGCAGTTCAGAACCTACTGAAAAGTCTTATTGTGGGAAGTCTGTCAAACGGCATTGTTACTCAAACAAACTGAATAAGAACACAGAAACTGATCAACATATGGACATGCTTACTGATCAGGATTGAGATAACCTACATCTGTATTGAAAACACTTCTAGTTGGCATAATTAGATCTCAAAGGACACACTGAAATATTCAGAGGAGTGCCCAGCGTGTCCATTGAAACAAATACATTTTATCTCTGCATGCCTCATATACCACAGACCTATCTGCCCCTTTCTCAGAGCTGAGAAGCTGAATGAAAGGAGTAGCTTGCAGCCAGTTCATAGAGTGAGATACAGCTTTGTCATATTTTCTGATGCATCATGTACTTGCTCTAAGAGCTAAACTATTGAACATAGAGTTATTCAGTTGTGGAGACATGAGAAGGGGGAAAATTATATTTCTGTTTCAAAGTGCAAATGTTAATATGATTTCCATCTGACACTGCTGAAGAGGACCTGAGTCCACTACACATAGATTTGTAATTAAAAAAATATAAAAATATGAAAGTTCAGTCACTGTAGTTGATGAGATGTATAGCATATTTGACACCTACCATTAAATATCCTCTATGTATGAGAGTGTAAAAAATCTCATCTAAGGATTCAATCCTTCTGACGTTGAACAATGTGGCAAAAAGCACAAATACTTGAAACACTCATGTTCACCTCACTCACTCAACCATACCCGAACTCTCCCATTTACTGAATCAACCTCTCTTTCACTCATACTCACTCCCTAACCCATCCATAACTCCACCATCCCATCTGCTCATTCTTTCATTCACTAACTCTCTCTATCACTTTCTTTCACTAACTCACTCACACCCACCCACTCACTCATACATCAATCCACTCACTCACCCACTCACTCACCCAAACATTCAACCAACTTCCCACCCATCCACCCACTCACTCACCCCACACACAACCCTCACTCACTCATAATAACAAGCGAATCACAAACAAAGAAAGACGTCATACAATCTACACCAACAAGCCAAACATTCAGCCAACTACCCACCCATCCACCCACTTACTCATCCCCCACCCAACCCTCACTCACTCACTCTCTCACTCATAATCACAACTGAATCACAAACAAAGCAAGACATCATACAATCCACATCAACAATCCAGAAAAAGCTTCCATCTGCTCCAAAGTAGAATAGGTTCGCAATATGTCAGATGACACAACACATTGCCTAACTGATGAATCATCTGTAAGACTGATATGATATGGACAATCCGTCTTCTCCAATCATCACCAGGAACACTGTTAGAAGGCATCCCCTAGCAGGGGCAACCATCCATACCTTGGAATCATCAACTTGATGAATTTGAACTGGGATTCTACAGCCATTACATTATTCCAAAGGACACAATTGTGAATTCCCTGGTGTGTCTCCTACTCAGATAAAGCTCATTCCATCTCTTTATCTATCCTTTATAGCACTACACCCATTTCCCTAGCCAGTAGGATCCATGCTTGCATCACTAACACCATGTACAGTGCAAATACCATCAAAATTAGGAATTGAAATCGGAAAGAATAATGATCTCAAATCTACATTTTTATCAACATGTTTCATTGTATACTCTAGAGATTAGGAACATCTCATTTGTCACATCCCAATCCATTTTATTATTTTCAGAAAATGACTGTCTAAAAGCTGAATGTATTTTGGCTGAGCTGGATCAACTGCTAATATTTCTCTTCTTTCTTCATGGTGTGGGGTAGGGGAATCTCCAAAAGTGGAATATAAAAATTTGTATTGATCATACATTTTACGACAGATTATAGGTAATACATCAAATATATATTTTGATCTTTTGATATCAGATATATCCATAAAAGTTTAAAAGTCTAAGGTTTAAACTTTTACTTAAAAATATACATCAAAAGACAAGAGGTGGAGATTCTATTTCATCCAAAATCATTCTTCAAACTTATATTTTTCCATAAAGTAGTACCCAGTATCGTGAGTGTAAAAGTGGAAGTAACCACCTTCAGTAGCAGAGAGATTGGTGATGTCATGTGATTGTGATGTCATCGTAACATGGCACAATGATCTGCAGATCTAGTGATAAACATTCATTGCAGGAATATCTCCTTTTGAATCCAGCTGTGTGGGAGGCATAATGAGATTAGCTGGTGTTTATGGGGTTGAAATAACATTGTGATGGATATTTTTCAATTTAATATCGAAAGTGGAACCAATTCCGCCGATGGAACAACTTCCCTCCCTCTAAATTCCAGGAATGTAAGTTGCTGAGTGGACTCAAATAAAGATGATAATGCTATGTGTGACTTGGACTAGTTCATCAAACCCTACATGCAGCATGAATCATTGTCCATGTTATCAACAATTTGTATGTGTCTCCATCACCCCTCCATCTATACCCTCACATAACACCTATCTGACAGGGACACCCTTCCATCTAGACCCTCACATAACACCTATATGACAGGGACACCCCCTCCACCCCCCATCTATACCCTCACATAACACCTATCTGACTGGCCACCTCTCCACTTAGACCCTCACATAACACCTATCTGACAGGGACATCCTTCCATCTAGACCCTCACATAACACCTATCTGACAGGGACACCCCTCCATCTAGACCCTCACATAACACCTATCTGACAGGGACACTCTTCCATCTAGACCCTCACATAACACCTATCTGACAGGGTCATCACTGCTCCATAAAGTCTCTCCATCCACAGTTATATCCCATCTCTCTCCTGTAACACCCTTCTGCCTGCCACAACTCAATAAACTTTTATGATGAGGCTCCCGAGGTCTCTTGGGGTTCAGCTTCTTGATGCTGGATCAGGATATGGAAATTTAAAGTTTGGTTATGGGGGGAATAGTGATAGGGTCACTGCCCTTTGTGAACTGGAAACAACTGAGTAGTACCTGGCTCTTGACAGATATGACGATTTTTATGCTGAAATTAGAATTTTAACCTCGAGAACAATCATAAATTCAATATCAAACCCATTTAAACCATTTCCAAACTTACTCGTTTCAGCTCACCCATTACATGGTTTCATTGTATTTATAATAAATTTACATAGTCTTATAACACAGGTGCATAGTATTATAACATGGTTGTATAGTATTATAACATGGTTGTATAGTATTATAACATGGTTGTACAGTGTATAAAATGGTTGCACTTTATGTGCACCAAAGTTGCATTGTAGTTATAAGGTTGAACTGTGTTTATAAGAACTAGCTCTGTATATATAGCAAAGTTTCCGTCCTTACAGAACAAGATTTCACAATGTTTTCAACAAAGATACAGTATATATAATATTGTGTTTACAATGCAGTTTAATCTACACTCAGTGAGAGCAACAGAAGTCTGATTTCAGTGCCAACACCATGCATGCATGATGAAACCATCAAAACCTTTCTAATATTCTGTGAATTCTAACAAGTGCAGAATTTCTGCAACTATTCCTTTGTCGGAAACTCCTGTTACAAAACTGGAGACAACCATTTCATTGAAAGACATCAGATAGATCAGTTAGACAGCACCCAGTCCATCAGAATTCTTCCTTTCATTATTTGGGCATCATGTGGATTCGGTAAGGATGAGATAGCACTGACACTATGCTCTTTGAGATGGGGATATTCCCATGGGAGGGACAATCTTAACAGCTTTGGCGGAAGGGTCAACCATTAGCCCTTGTACACTACACATACATTAATATTGGCAAAGTATATGGAATTTCCCCGGCCAGACGCTCCTGGGAGGTCCTGTGTTGGTATAGCAGCATGTGTCAAGTCTGGGGATGCGGGGTGACAAATATCTTCCAGCAATGGAATAAAATAGACAGATCCTTACAGGTATATATACTAATATGGCAATAATGCCGAAGAATTTAAGGGGAGTCTTAGGATCTTGGAGGGTTTTTCTATACTACAGAAACCTACGGAGCCCCTTAACCTATGATTTTTAATATCAGGGTTATGATGAGGACCACTTGACTTGTATTTAGTGTTGCAATATAGTCGTGGTTATAACATTTAACCTATACAGTAGCAGTAGAATGTCTTTTTCTGATGCCTTGATGCCTTTCAGTGGAGTGGGAGTGGAGTGGAGTGGAGTGGAGTGGAGTGGAGTGGAGTGGAGGGGTGCAGAGGGGAAGGGAGTGGAGAGGAGGGGCGGAGTGGAGAGGCGCGGAGTGGAGGCATGGAGTCCTGCGGATGTACATTACCATAGAATCCCTATACAGAATCAGTAGGTTATCATGGCTGGACTTGACAAGCCATTGGTGAGATATTATGTTTCATTGAAAACAACAATTTCAACGAACATATGCATTTGGAAGCTTAACAGCTAAAGCAGTATTAACTGAGACTAGTGCGCCTTTAATATTTTCTTGTAATGAATACTGAGTACAGCATGTTTCACATGACAGCAGTGAAAAGTGAGTTGCGTGTTACGCTGTTTTTAGCAATATTCCAGCAACATCATGCCGGGGGACACCAGAAAGGAACCTCATGTACCCATGATGGGAATCAAACCCCGATCTTCGGCATGACGAGCGAACGCTTTAACCACTAGGCTACCCCACCGCCCCAAAGCAGTGAAAAGTCTATACCACAATATCCTTACATACACTCTACTATTTGTCTAT